ATCATATATAATTAGCATATGCATTATATTAAATTGTTAAAAATTGTAATTAACATATGTAAATACCACATGCATGATTTAAAACTTTTAAAAATTCTAATAATTATATGTACCTAGCATATGCATGATTTAAATTTGTTAATCATCATATATAACTAGCATATTCAATACATCCAAAATAGTTTACAACATTTACGGCAATACATCGGCGGTGACGGTTGTCCGCACGTACTTTCTCCTCACTATTGTTCCTTCCTTGTGATCGCTACGTGAGTAAGGGGTGTCTTCATTTGCTAGGAGGATGCTAGGGTCAATCGTCACCGTGAAAGGGCGTTGCCCATCAAACTGATCGTAATCCTCGTCAGTCTTGTCCTCTACTCCGACGATTTTTCTTTTGCCTGGGAGAACCACGTTGCGCATCGGCTCGTCAGGCCCTTTGCCCTTCTTTCCTTTGCTAGACATGTCCTTCACGTTAAAAACTTGCGTTACATCATTGGCAAGGACAAAAGGTTCGTCCGAGTATCCAACCTTGTTAAGGTCAACCGTTGTCATCCCACTGTCATCAATTATAACACCTCCACCAGTCAACCTAACCCATTGACACCGGAACAGAGGGACCTTGAGAGGTCCATAGTCAAGTTCCCATATCTCCTCGATGGCACCGTAATACGTGCCAGTTGTACCATCGTGTCCCATGGCATCGATACGAACAGCACTGTTCTGGTTCGTGCTCTTCATGTCTTGGGCTCTTGTATAGAATGTGTACCCATTGATCTCATATCCTTGGAATGTTGCGATCGAGCCAGATGGACCCCTCGCCAGGAAGGCCAGTTGCTGGTTAATCGTCTCGTTACCCATGAGATGTTGTCACAGCCATGCGGGGAAAGTATCAATGTGATGCCGTGTAATCCATGCATCGGACTTACCGATGTTTCTGGTGCGAACTAGAGCCAAGTGCTCCTTGATGTAAGGAGCCACCAATGAAGATTGTTGTAAAACCGTGAAATGGGCTTTACGGAATAAATTGTTGTCTACCGTCATTATTGCTTTCCTTTCGAGAGTCCCCATTCCCCGTAGTCTCTCTTCATGGCGTAATTCAGGTAACTCGATTGGGCGAAGGTCTTCAATAAATTCTACGCAAAATTCAATGACCTCCTCTGTTCCATACCCCCTTAGCGATGCTTGCCTCTGGACGAGCACGGTTACAAACATACTTCTTCAGAACGCCCATGTACCTCTCGAAAGGAAACATGTTGTGTAGGAACACAGGCCCGAGAATACCGATCTCTTTCACTAGGTGACAAAGCAGATGCGTCATTATATTGAAAAATGAAGGTGGAAATATCAACTCAAACCTGACAAGACATTGCACCACATCATTCTGAAGGGCTTCTAACCTATCCGGATCGATGACCTTCTGCGAAATTGTGTTCATGAAAGAACATAGCTTTGTTATTGTTGCCCGGACATTGTCTGGGAGGATACCCCTTATTATAACTGGTAGCAGCTGTATCATCAACACGTGACAGTCATGAGACTTTAGGTTTGTGAACTTCTTCTCCTTCATGCTTATTATTCGCTTTATATTCGTGGAGTATCCAGATGGTACCTTGATACTCTCCAAGCATTGAAACATACTTTCCTTCTCTGCCTTGCTAAGAGTGTAGCTGGCTGGACTCAAGTAATGGCTGCCTTTCTCCTTTGGTTCCGGGTGAAGGTCGCCACGTTGTTCTATATGCTTCAGATCATTACGTGCTTCCAGTGTATGTTTCGACTTTCCATATACACCTAGGAAGCCAAGAAGGTTTACGCAAAGGTTCTTAGTAAGGTGCATCACGTCGATTGCGTGGCGGACGTCCAAGAATTCCCAATAGGGTAACTCCCAAAATATGGAGTTTTTTTTTTCCACATCGCCACGTGACCATCTTCGCACTCTATAGGCTGGCTACCAGGCCCCTTTCCAAACACTACTTTAAGACCTTTCACCGTAGCAAACACTGTTTTCCCGCTACGATGTTTTGGCTTCGTACGGTGGTCCGCCGTATGTTCAAAGTGCTTTCCTTTCTTCCGTACTGGATTGTTTGCTGCAAGGAATCAACGATGACCCATGTACACAACCTTCCGACAGTGCTTAAGCGTACTTTCTGTTTCATCCATACAGTGAGTGTAAGCCTTGTACCCCTTGTTTGACTGCCCGGATAGGTTGCTAAGTGCAGGCCAATCGTTGATGGTTACGAACAGCAGCGCTCGTAGGTTAAACTCCTCCTGTTTGTCCTCGTCCCACACGGGGACACCTTCCTTCTTCCACAACAGTTTAAGATCTTCGACCAGTGGTCTTAGGAACACATCGATGTCGTTACCAGGTTGCTTGGGGCCTTGAATAATAATCGGCATCATTATGTACTTCCTCTTCATGCATAGCCAAGGGGGGAGGTTGTAGATACACATCGTAACGGGCCAAGTGCTATGGCCGCTGCTCATCTCTCCAAAAGGACTCATGCCATCCGTACTTAAACCAAACAGTATGTTTCGTGCGTCCTTTCCAAAGTCTTTAAATTTTCTCTCGATGTTTCGCCACTGCGAACCATCTGCGGGGTGTCTCAGCATCCCGTCCTGTTGACGTTCTTCAGCGTGACAAAGCATCATTCTAGCATTCCCCTTGTTCCTAAACAAACGCCTTAGCCGTGGTATTATAGGGAAATACCACATCACCTTAGCAGGAATTCTCTTCTTCGTTAGCTGCCCGTCAACCTCACCTGGATCATCTCGTCTAATCTTGTATCGTAGTGCTTTACAAACAGGGCATGCTTCTAGGTTCTCGTACTCCTTACCGCGATATAGGATACAATCATTCGGACATGCGTGAATCTTCTGAACTTCCAGTCCTAGAGGGCAGACTATCTTCTTAGCCTCGTACGTTGTCTCGGGCAATTTGTTTCCCTCCGGAAGAATGTTCTTGACGAGTTTCAATAAATCGCCAAATGCCTTGTCACTAACACCATTTTTTGCCTTCCATTGCAAGAACTCCAGAGTGGTATCCAATTTTTTGTGCCCCTGCTCACAACCTGGGTACAACGACGTTCTGTGGTCCTCTAACATCTTGTCCAATTTATGGGCCCCCTTTACACTTTCGCAGTCCTCCTTGGCATCCTGCAACATCTGACCAAGATCATCCGCAACATCGTTATAATCAGCATCTCTTTCCTCCTCGCCCGTTTGATTTCCTTCAAATCCAGCGTACTGAGCAAAGTCTGGAATATTGTCGTCTTCCACTTCATCTTCTTCCATTTCAACCCCTTGCTCTCCGTGGAATGTCCAACAATTATAGCTTGGCATGAACCCCGACTCAAACAAGTGGAAATGAATAGTCCTGGATGCAGAATACTCCTTCTGATTCTTACACTTATTGCATGGACAACAAATAAAACCATTCTACTTGTTAGCTTCGGCCACTCTCAAAAAATAATGCACGCCGTCAATAAACTCTTTGGACCGCCGGTCAGCGTACATCCATTGACGATCCATCTACATGAAATGAAAAAAAAATCGTACACAAATAATCATTCGTACAATAATAACAGTCATACAATAATGATAAAATAATCACAAACTCTTTCAACAGTCATACAATAATGACATATCATTATTCATACAAAAATTATAAAATATTCCACCAAATAATTCTTATTTATTATTTTTTAAGTTTTAAATTCTTTTAATTTTCAATTTAGTTTGTTTTCTTTTATTTAAGATTAACTTTCTCTATATTTTCCTACTCAACTATTTTATAAAACCTTATTTAGCAAATAAACAAAATTTCTATATATTCTTTCTTTTCCCACACAAATTTTCTCTCTCATCAACTTACAACAAAATTTTGGAGATAAAAAAGTGTGCAAAACATAGCTCCAAATGTAATATGACCAAAAAAACATTGGAGGATGAAGTTGCTAACCTTTTAGGCACCTCCGATTTGTATATAATCACCAAAGTAAATTCACTATAAATTTTGGCATGACCTCCCCTCTTTTTTGAAGAAATTTTGAAGAAATTTTGAAGCTTGCTCGGGCTGGAGGAGGAAGAAGACATATATAAAGGGGTGGGACTTTAGTCCCGGTTGGTGTTACCAACCGGTACTAAAGATCACCGGGATCTTTAGTCCCAGTTGGTAACACTAACCGGGACTAAAGATCCCGGGGGGCCTGACAAGCACTGACAGCATTTGAACCGGGACTAAAGATTAAATATGCCCGTTATCTTTAGTCCCGGTTTTTATTGCAACCGGGACTATTGTGAAATTCGGCCGACCGACAAAAGATGGTTTCTCCACCAGTGAATGATAAGGTAGAAGGATTTTTTTGTCCTTTCCTTAATTCAATATTTATTCCAACAGGGGATTTGTTTAAATGAGGTAAAAATGATGACAAATAATATGAGCCCCCTCGTTGCAACGCATGGGTATTTAGCTAGTAGTTTGATATACATACAAGGTTACCTGTTAGAGTGCGCAGCCTGGCCCACCAATCTTGGGCCACCCATGTGACATTGGACCTGCTCCACCACAGACCCAATCAAAGCCACAACTTTAGGTTCTGGACCTAAGCAACCTAAAAAACTAGTATGATAGGTGGGTACCGCGTCTCTCACCTTTTAAGTCGTGCTCCCCATCATCAATTACCGATGTGGGACTAAACCCAACATCACCCTCAGCACAGTCTGACAGGGTTGTTGTGTCATCCTGAGCTAAAGCCACTTTAATTATGTACATAATGTTGAACGTACGGAAATATAGAAAAACTGAATTGATGTAGGATGATCCAGAGGCAAAGACGATAAAAAAGTTGCATTTAATTTTTTGCATGAACACAAACAACTACGGATAGCAAAGAAATTTGTTTAACATAGTCAATATAGTAAACAGTGCACTAGTCTCTTGACAGTTCAGGAGGCCAGACGGGCTTATTCATTAATAAATTATGTAGGACTTATTCATTAATAAATTATGTGGGAGTTACATGCATTTGGTTTAAAAAAACACACAAGCACTAACTAACATTTATACTTTTCCAAATTGTGTCATCCCATTAAAACGTCGATCGCTCCTCTGAAGAGATTAGCTTTCACAATATTGCCAACCTTCGGAAGATCTCTTAATAAGAGGCTGCATGACAGCAAAAGCTTTCGCTTTTCCTAGATGGAGAGAGACAATTTTCAAGACCTCCCAGTCCAAATGTATATGTAGATTATGTAGAAGCAGACTGCAATATGACAATATATATAATGAGTGAATCAGAAATGGCGATGTTGTCTGAATTGTTTCTATTTTGGTAGCAAGACACATGTATGGTTTATACTTGTATGCACGGCTGTGTCTTGTACACTTCAAAGTGAACATCTCTTAATAACTACCTACCGTATGATCAATTGGGAAGAAGTACTGTATGGCTTGCCTCAAAGTACAAATCATAGCACATATGGCATATCATAACATGACCTAAAAATCTACCACCCTTGAAGAGTTGTATTCCTCCTTATATATATAGATATGCCCTTCATGAAGAGAGGTACCAAAACTAATCTTAGAGGTTGGAATAGGGTTGAGAAGTTTTTTAGAGTCATAGGTAAATGTATTATTTCAATGGTATATATATGGAGGCATATACCTCATGACTAACATTGTGAGGTATATATGCCTCTATATACCTCCCAAGTCCCATGGAAAAAAAAAGTCCAACCTTACCAATTGTATACTGTTCTTTCAATCAGTTCCACCGATTTTCTTTCTTTTTCCCCTTGAATAGTGAGGAGGTACCTTTCCAAGGAGGTAAGAGAAACCTCAATAATTATATACCTAGTTTTTGTGCACACCTGTTTGGATGCATTATACATGTTTAATGCGTGACTCCTTTATTCACATGAAGGAAGCACATCACATGTTTTTATAATTGTTTTATAATGAAGAAAAGTGTAGCCTTCGTACCTCCCAACTATTACAATGAACTAGCTATTTTCTGTCGCTCAACTACAACAATGGGTCAAAACATTAATACTCATATCTCTAAACATGAAACTCTTCACTGTATGAACAGATGAGTTAGCATGCTGACAAGACAATGCACAACTATTAACATCTCTCGTGTGCAGGGGAGAGAGATAGAAAGAGCAAAACCATAGTAGAGAGCTCAAGTGCTCAACAAATGTGCCAGGCCTCGTCAACATGTTGAGTCATGTATCCATGGCTAAAAGTTCATTCAAATGAGTGGAATGATGGAATGTGTCTGGTATAGAGAGAGGAGGAAAATTTGAAGTTTAGGGACAAAATATTTAACTGTTGCCATAGGTGTGGAATGGAAATTTTTTTAATATGTAATAATTAGATGAGACTATGGCTTGGGCATCTTGTTTATTTCGAAAAAGAACCAAATGTTGTTTCACCACTTAGTGAAACGCTTCAGAGAAATGGAATGTTTAAAAACTACAAACTGCAACACCAACAACCGTGACATGAAACATTGAGCCCAGTGATAAATCCATGGAAAGAATTCATAAAATCGATAAGTAAAGTCAAATATGAGTGGAAACATTTGCATCTGACACGTAAAATCGTTTAAAGTTACTAATGCAGCACATGCATGAATGCAGACAGCCACTGCATGCTCAAGGAGATAGAGAGAGTAGACAGACTATCCGTCTAAGAGATGACGCATGCAGCTAGAGAGAGAAACGAGGTGCGCCGGATGCAGAAAGTGCAAGCGCAAGATGGAGGCACAACCTGTTGGCTTTATCAGCAGACCGATAGGAAGCATTTTTAATGATAATTTCGTATAAATAAACCATCTGACTAAATTCTCCCCTCAGTTCTATTATATTTCTTGACGTGTTGGATAATAATACGGTCTCGAGAACATATTTTTAACTATATTTTTATTATATTATTTAAATTTATTAATGCATGTTTCAAAATTAATCTATGCATAATGTTGTAGTTTCTTCAAACTAGATATTTTAAAAGTTACTTCCTCCGTTTTACAATGTAATTTATTCTAGTATTTCTCACATTCATATTGATGTTAATGAATCTAGATAGATATATATGTCTAGATTCATTAACATCAATATGAATGTGGGAAATGTTAGAATGACTTACATTGTGAAATGAATGGAGTATTGATAGTTAAAGTTTTAATTGTTGATCTCAATCTTATCCAAAACATCAAGGATTACGGAACGGGAGGAAGTACCAACATGAAATTGATACCAGGCACCTAATTTCCATAAAAAAAAATTTTGTGGGGGGGTGAAATGTTTAAGTTGTCCACGGGTGAAACATTGAAAAAAAATAGTGATTGAAATACTGAAAGATTATGTGAAACATATGTTGAAACATTTCAGTATCGCGTATGAACATGAATTTTCATGGTTAAAACATAAGTTTACATATCTTTCATAAGAATATAATTATGTGATATCTTTTTTTACATATTTAATAACAATAAATTCAAGATATAATCGGATTGTAAATTGAATATAAATAATTTAAAAGAAAACTCATGTCAAGCTATTTTAAAAACGTAGAAAAGACATCGGAAGGGAGGAGAATGCTAGTGAGTAGGAAGATAGGCTACTGCATGCACATATAGCGGCCATGTAGCTTAGACATAGGTAATATGATGCCCTATCTTTTCTATTTGATTGGACGTCTAACTGAAAGCTTTGTCGATTATTTTAGCTTTTTTATAGGTGATGGAATAAAACATCTCGATTTTTGCTTAATGAGCTATATCCAATTATTACAGAATTCACACAAAAGCAATCTTACACAGTGAGTTTAGAAGCGCACCAACAAAATATTAAGTAAGCACAAACTAATACACACCAACACAAGATAAAGCTCCCACAACTACTGAATTTTATTTGTGAACCTCTACCTGAAGTTGGCGAAGAGCTGCATATCAATTATTTTAGTTATTGAACCGTTGTAAATTTGGTTTTAACTGGATCGATGTCCAGATTTATTCACTAAAATTTCTCGGGTGAACGTGGACATTTTGTCGGAATGTCCTAATAATAGTATAGGTATACGTGTAGAGATTTGCTTGCACTTTGTCGGCCATAGGTAGGGTGCACCTCCACCATTTTGGTGCGTAGAACTGTAGGCTGTAGCTACCGCAGCTTCCATCGGGTGCCAATGGCGACGACGCTGGCTAGACCTTGTCCGCCCGCAGCACCACCATGGGAGCTCCGGTGTAGAACGGGCCGACGCCCAGCTCAGACCTCAGGTAGCACCTCGCGCCGGCGACCCTCGCGCCCTCGCCGTTGAGCGGGAACACCTGCCACCACCGCGCCAAGACGCCGTCGAGGCACCTGCGGCACGACGCCGGCGGCAGGTCCGGCGAGCACTGCGCCATGGAGTAGATGTTGCGGAACCCCGGGTCGCGGGCGTCGTCCCCCACGCGCTGCCCCGTGGCGAACAGCCTCGCCGGGTTCTCCTCCACCGCGTACCGCACGGTGGCCGCGAGCAGCTCGGTCACCGCGCGGTCGTACGCCGCCACGACGCCGGCGCCTCCGGTGATGTTGGTGCCGCTGATGAGCAGCGTCTCGCCGCCGGCGTTGTCGGTGGCGGCGAGGAAGTCGCCCTTGTTGGAGAATCGGGCGTAGCACTGGTTGTACACGAGGGCCACGTCCTTGGCGCGGCCGTGGCGGCCGCCGCAGACGCGGCCGACGTCGGCGAGGACGCGGGTGCCGCAGTCGAAGCAGTCGGAGACGCTGAGGTCGCCGCGGCAGAGGAGGAGGCCGTAGACGGCGTCGGGCGCGCCGCCGCGGATGCCCGTGGCGAAGAGCGCCGACGGCGAGGCGGCGGCGCCCGCGCGGAGCGCGGCGGCGAGGTCACGGAGGTTGGACTCGTAGGCGCTCCCGGCCTTGTACGTGCCGGCGCTGGTGTCGCACGTCGGCCACGGCTGGCCGGCGGCGAGCGGAGGAAGCAGCAGCGCGGCCGCCGCCGCCGCCGCGACGACGGCGACGGCGTGGATGAGCGTACAGCGCGGCTGCATATTGGCGCGGCGTCACTCAGTTTAAGTTGGGATCGATGCAAATTAAAGCAGGTGAATATATATATAGGACGTAGCCTAGCGTACGTAGTTTTGGGCTGCACTGCGGCATCGATCTCCTACTTTTCGTTTTGGATTTGATCAAGTTCCAAATCGATCTCGGCAACTTGGGCAACTTGGGCGTGCGATAACGCACCCATCTGGCTGAATTCACAGTGATAGTTAGGTATTTGTCCACGCACACACCAACGCACACGTTCATTTTGACGCTTAATTGTCAGCACATGCGCGCGCGCGCCGGGGGGGGGGGGGGGGGGGGGAAGGGTCTCCAATCAATCGCTGGCTTGGTCCGCGCGTGCCGCTGCCTTTGCTATTCTAGAAGCCAGCAACTCTGGTTTCTGGCAGAAGCTGTTCATAAATCACAACGAAAGATGATAACAACGCAACAAAAAACGACCAAGATACGTCTCGAAACGTAAGAGAGTAACGGATCTTTGTTTGAATGGGTTTATTTATTAGATATTTGTTTTACCCTCTTAGGAATTTTTCAAACAATAGAAGGGTACCTCCTCATTGTAAAGTAACCAAATCAAATTATGCGATTTTTCTTGTTTCTTAATTAACCGACTATAGTTACAATACATATAGCCTAAACTTGTATAAAATGTGAAACAACACAGCTTTGTATAGGGTTAATAACTAGATTTTCCATATCTACTATAGGAAAAAATTAATATGATTTATACCGCCCTCAACTATGAAAAAAAAAAGACAACACACACCTCATCGGTTAAATCCGGACATTTAATCACATGCGGACATTTTTAGGTGGTTTTGAATCAAGTTTTCCCACGGCATACTCCAATGTGGAAAACGAGTTGACGAATAGATTGCCACGAGCATTTTTTCAACATTATTTATTAATATCTATGAAAAATTTATTCGCTTGACGAATAGATTGCCGCAAGTATTTTTCCAATACCTTTCTGTCAATATTGTGAATCTGTGTGCTTGTTTGTTTCCACCTCGTTCACGGAATCTCTAGACTAGCTATAGTCCCTATAATGCAGCAGGATCCTTACCTTATCAACGTGGCATATCATGAAAGCAATAGTAAGTTGCGTTGTGTGGTGAGAAATCCAACTAAATTATATTATGCAAATGTGCAACTCAATACCAATACGTTTGTATAAATCTGACAATGTACTTAGATCTTTTTGGTACATTTTTGGATCAAATTAAGATTTATTAGAGATGGGTATTTCTAGCTTTACAAATCAATGAATCTAGATCTACGATTACGTTGATAACATTTAGATAAATCATTTAATTCCCGATTTAGATAAAATTTAAAACTTTGCACCGCTATAATTTAACGTAAAAATTTTAAATTTACTGTGGGTCCAAGATCTAAAACTATGCCCAAGTGACTTAGTTAGTATATTAAATATTGAATAGTAGATTGAATGGTGCACCATCGATCCAATGGTTGCAGGAGTCGGCGGCACAATACCTCGGGCTACAGATTGATCTGTGGTTACAAGAGCGTGCAGAGATCGGTCTAGGCACCAATAGTATACCATTTGGGAGGTTCTGTGCATGCCTGTCAGGTGCTCGCTCGAGATGTTTTTGTCTGTATATCTGTATGGCTTCCAGAATCAGGCATAGACATCCATATTTATATATCCAGTTTCTTCCGTTTAACTGAAGTGATGAAATTTGTTTATCAGTTTTCCCATAAAGAACACGTTGTGGTCGGAGACTTGGTATCCTGATGATCAACCACAGGCATGTAAGAAATTAAACATGCATGCACGATCAGCCTGCATCGATGCATCAAACATATGGTAATTGGAAAAAGTACGAATTACCCCCTGATCTATTGCGGTAGTACGATTTATCCCCCGAAACTATAATACCGGACATTTAACACCCCAAACACTTAAAACCGAATAAATTACCCCCCTAACTCGATTTGAAGCGGTTTTCAGCCTACGTGGCACACACGTGGCGATACAGTCAGCAAAAACAAATAAAAACAGGTGGGGCCCACCTTTTAGCGTTTTTTTTCACTCCTCTCTCTCGGTTGACAGATCTTGCGGCTGGCGGGCGGCGAGCGGGTGAGGAGCCGACGCCGATGGGCGGCCAGCGGCGGGGATGGCCGCGGGCGGCGGACGGGTGATGAGCCGAGGCCAGAGGCAGGCGGGCACGGAGGCCGACGCCGACTGGCGGCCGGCGGAGGGGATGGCTGCGGGCAGCAGACAGGCGCGGAGGCGGCTGCAGGCGGCAGACGGGCACGGAGGTGACTGCGAGTGGCGGGTGGGCGAGGAGCGGACACCGACTGGCGGCCGGCGGCGGGGATGGCTACAGGCGGCGGGCGAGGATCCGAGGCCGGAGGCGGGCGGGCGTAGAGACCGAGGCCGGCGGGCGGGCCAGGAGGCGAGGCTGGCGGTGGGCTGAGCAAGCTACGCCGATCCTCCATCCCGCGAGCTAAGCAGGGTGGCGCCGCCGTCGTCTGTCCAGCTGTGGTGACTATGGCGAGCGGCGGCAACTGCGGCAGGGCGCCAGGCAAGGCTCTTCCCCTCTTTCTCTCTGGCACCATCGGGAGAGCGGACCCCAGGCCGGCGGCGGGCGTTGTGGAGGCGGTGATGGAACGCGGCGTGGCCCACGACGGCGACTACGGCAAGTGGCCTCCCCCCTCTCTCTGTCTCTCCGTAGCGCAGTCGGGAGAGCGGACCCCGAGGCCGGCGGTGGGCGTGGAGGGGGCGTTCAGGGCGTGCGGCGTGGCCCATGATGAAGCTCACGTGAAGGAATCGACCGCGGCAGGCGGCGGAGGTCCTCCCGCACCTCTCTCTCCTCTTCCCCTCTCTCGGCGAGCACGGCACCCCGGCGGTGCCCGAGGACGACCTCGGCTCGGCGGGGAAGGTTGTCTCGTCGTCGTCGTCCGCTGCTGTTGCCCCTACAAGCTCGCGCCACCCCCTCCCTCGCCGTCGCTCCCCGTCTCTCCCTCCCCTCACCGCCACCCGCACTCCACCGCCGTTGCTGCCTTCTCTGCCTGGGCCACCACCACCACCACACTGCAGCCATCCACCTCCTGCAAAAGCTCCATCTCGCGCGACTCACGCGTCGCCGCCACGGACGCGGTCGCCGACACCGTGCTTCGCGTTCGCCATCGCCGCTCGCCCTCCCGGCACGCCCGTCGTGCCCCCTAGCTGATGAGAGAGAGAAGAGAGAGAGGGGTGAGGTAGGAGTACATGACAAGTGGGCCCACAGCTTTTTAATATTTTATTTATTGGATTGCCACGTGGCGCCATGTATGTGCCACGTAGGAGCAAAACCACTCTGGGTTGAGCCAAGGGGGTAATTTGTCCGGTTTTGAGATTCGGGGGGGGGGGTAATTCGTACCTTTTCCTATGGTCTCTAAATGTCTCTGTATTCATCTGGAAAAGTAACCACATGATAGAAAAGGAGGCAAGACGCTTGAGCGAACTGTATGCAGCACGAACGCTGCCATGAATCAGAGGTGTCGAGTCGAAAATAGCCGTGTGCAACAAAAGAAAACTAGCAGAGCAAAGCTCCTCTGGTCTTGTGCGATTCGGACTGTCACTGCCACGAAAATCATTGAAGACTTTCTTCGATGCCCTGTAAAAGCCCTCTTACACACGGCTAAATGACGTTTCAAGAGACAGTTCGCTAAATGACATCTAACAAAAGGCCTATGGAAATAATATATTTGTGTAGAATAGTAAACGGAGAAAAATACTACGAAATATTACACATGTACGTATTAAGCTCAGGGACCGATATATACAAAATATACGTGGTAGAGATAAGAAAAGATTACATATAAGAAAAAAATTACACAAATCAATACTATCCTAATACATTTCTAAGTACCATATATATGTACTCTAACAATTTGTACACAGGTAGTCATCATGCCATATGAGGAAATCATGCCCTGTCTACATGATTGAGCTGATGTTGCAAATTAAATCCTGCATATCTACAAAACCTATGTCTCTTTCATTTGTAGATGGAGAAACTTGTGATTTCAAACAAAAGAAACCGCGGAGAATGAAGTGTTCAATCGATCAATTGTCCCATATTCCTAATGTGCTATAAGAAAAAAAAAGGAATACATTCAGTCCCTCGATGAACCAGAATCCTTCATAGTGGAAAAGCATCAATGGCTTCCGATGGACACATCAAAGCACATGCCAGCAAATAACTAGAACCTAGTTTCTCGAGCCTCTCTTGCTTCCTCGTGCTACATTGAGGCCGTGTTTAGATAGGGCCAAAGTGCCAAAAAACTCGGTACAAGGGGTGCAGTCTGGACTTTAGAACTAAACGGGTAGTCACCTGAAATTCGGCCATATTGCACATTTAAGGCCCAACAGTAGCCTAGGGTTAGGGTGGCCCATTATACCCCTGGGAGGCGCCGAACCCGCCGATCCTATCCATTCCCCATCGCCTCTTCACACGCGCTAACCCTAAGGTTCTTCTCCCCTGCGTCCACTCTCTCTCGAACTCATCGGCGTCGCATCTGTCCTCCCCGCCGCTGTAATCCAACCCTACCCTGGGTGAATCGAAGGGTTCCTCGTCCAGATCCATCACATCCGTGGCGGTGCGTGCAGCGGAATCGACGGGAGCGTGCAATGGATTTGTACGAGGGCGACAGCAACAACGGGGGCGACTACGGCGACAGCCATGATGGCGGCGGGTACGGCAACGGCGACAGCGGCCACGGCTACGGAGACGCCAATGACGGCAACAACCTTGGCGGATACGGCGGCGGGAGCACCATCCTCCTTTACGGGGCCGAGCATCGATTCGGCGCCAGCATCCCTACGCACGACTTCCTCGCGCAGCCTCTCCATCTCTCCCGTGATGGCGGCCGCACGTCCTACAACTCGAGTGGCTTTGGCGAGGGTTCTTCCAGCAGCCAGAACCCTCCCGGTTCAACTTCGGGGCTCTCGACCTCAACTACGGCGACAAGTGGTCGACCATGCACGGCTACCAAGACCTTCTTCGCAGTGGCGAAGGGGATGGCAGTCAATGCCCTCC